GTGTAGGTGCTAAATGAAATTTTAGCCTGAGTTTATCTCAGTTTTTTTCCTAGTCACCAAGTATACAGTTATGTTGGGCATCTGGCAGAACTTTCACACACATTATTTCCCTGAGAGTCATCATGGTAAGAAGGGCCAATTAGAAACCCCTAAAACTTCTCCTAAACACACACACACACACACACACACACACACACACACACACACCCTACATACACATTCCTGGCCTGCATGGTAAATGAGAAGCAGTCTGTATCCAGGAGGATTGCAGACATTTCAACTGTCATCAGAGACTGTAGGTATGCAGAGGTGGTGTTTGCACCATATCCCTATTCAGTTAATTTGCCTGGGTCCTGAAAAAAAAAAAAGATGGCTTATGGCAAGCCATGGTAAACTCTATTATAAATTTAATTGGATAATAATTCCCATTTTGGCTTACATGCAAAATATGGAACCATTAATGGAGCAGATCAACACAGTCTCTGGCTCTTCATATGCAGCTACTGAACTGGAGAATTCATTCTTCTATATCAGGGGCAGGCAAACTATAGCCCATGGGCCAAATATATAGATATTACTACTTATCAGAGAACATGCGAACATGCGCTGCTGAAGGAAGGGTCAATCAACAACTGGTTAGGAAGGACATGCCTCATACATTTCAGTCCATGTCTGTCATTGATTGCCCCTGTGCTGGACAGCAGGCCCCCAAACAAGGTGGTCATTGGCAGGGATAGAGGCTTGTATGGGATCCCTCTCCTCTAGCTTGTGTTACTTTTGCATGCCCAAACTGTCAGTAGCACAGACAGAAGAGATCAGTCAGTCTCTTGGTATTGGGTTGATTACAATTAGACATCTTTTATCCTGGATTGGGTATATAAAAATTTGTATTTATAGGACTTAATCCTTAATTTAAAATAGGGGTTTTCATTGCTGTCTGAAGTTACATCCAAAGCTCTAGACAATGCTTGATTTATCAACATGAGGTCTCACACAACATTGCTCACACCGAAGGTTATATTCTTTAGTAGGAAAGGCAGAGCTGTGGGTATTTGCACACAGGATCCACTAATTATTCCTTGTACCCTGTCATTCAGAAGTGGACATTTTAATAGAGTGGTAGAAATCCTGTTAAAAGCTCACTTAAGAAGCCAGCTTGAGGACAACACCTAGGAGGGATGGAATGCAGATTTCCAGGATGTGCTATGGACATATATGGAGATAAATATTAAGCTCCAAGTCCTCAGTAGCACAGTTTCACAGGACCAAGAATTGAATGGTTAGAGGTTTTGTGTTTCTTATCCTGCAACCTTAGCCTCTATTGGATAAGAAGTCTTGATAGTGGTGGATGGGGAAGAGAACAATTCTACCAGGAGAAAGGTATAAATCTACTGAACTTGAAGCTGAGATGCCAGTTGGATTCAGCATGCCTGTAGGCAACAGCTAAGAAAAAAATATTCTGCTTATGAAAGTAATAGCCCCTGATTACCCTGAAGAACTAGGTCTGCTGTGCCTTATGGAGATGGGGAGAAGCAGGTGTGGAACCCAAGGGTTTCATAATATGTGTGCATCTTGGTGATTCAATGTCCAGTGAGACAATGGTTGCATATTGTCAAGTTGACATATAGTTGTGCTGCAACGATGCCCACTAAAAACAAAGAAAATAAGGGCACCAGCCCCTAAAACTGAAGGTCTATACAGCCCTACCAGGACATTAACCCATACAGCTAACGTGCTGGATGATGGTCAGGGACGGAGAGGCTATTGGAAGAGATTGGAGATAAATCTTAATGATGACTGCAAATCCAGCTACAATTGTATAGACTGAAGTTTGCTTTACTTATCTTCAACCAGACTGACTGACCTTAACCTTGAAGGGGACCTCATGCCAGATTGGACTAATGCTTTCCAGTCCTCCTGGAGAGCTGGATATAACAGTGGGGCAAAGAGGACCTGGACAGTACAAGGGGCACAACTGTGTTTGGTGCTTTTTATGTGATACTTTCTGTTCTTTGTTCCACCTGTTTCCTTCAAAGCCACCACTGTGATGTCCCACTCTTGAGGTATGTTCTGACTACTTTCATGAAGGTGCAACTGGACAGCACTTCAACTTTTCACCTCCTGCCTGGGGCCACCCTATGATACCTCCACATGACAACTATCGTACTCACGTATGTCCATCATGGAAGCGCAGGGAGGTTTGTGCCCCATGAAATAAAGCTTTGGCCACCAGGAGACAGGAGGCAGTGGTTGAATTTTTCCTTTTTATTCCTTCATGTTGAAATTATACACCTTCTCAGCAGACCCACCTGTCATCAGTGGGATGGAGCAATCTGTCACACTAAACAGTGTCAGCTCTCTGATCTGGTGTCATATTGCTCTCTCTCTTCCTCTCCTCCATTCCCTCGCTCCTCACTCTCACTACCTGAGATGGCGCAACCTCATTCAGGCTAGAATAGTCTCTAACCTCCCAACCTGATCCACATGGTGTGCCCTCTGGGGATTTGACTGTCACAACAAACAGTCCCTCTAATTGCACCTTAAGTGAAATGTGGATGTTTTCTAAGGATAATTGCAGTGTGGTCAAATGAAGGCTGATGGCTGTCTGGATACTATTTCCACATCATTTTTCTTCTTTCTTACACTTTTGATGCGTATGCCGCTGAGCCCAAATACCCACAGGTCCTCCTAAGACCTCTTGCATCTGTCCATTTCTTGCTATCCCAGATGCCACCGCCTCACTCAGGCCTGCACCAAGTCTTGCCTCACTGTTTCCATGGCTCTCCTTCCCAACATCTTATAGCTCTCGGTGTCCAGAGCTCATCTCCTTCCTTCACGCCTGGATACTGAGCCAGAGTCATCTTCATAATGGACAAATCTGTTGTCATTCGCTGCTTAGCACTTTTTCATGGCAACTTGGTGACCTTAACATAAAAGTCCAAATTATGAATCTCTGCCAAAAATTAACTTCTGTTTATTTCCAGCCTTTGTCGTTTGCTACTTCCTCCCTCATAGTCAGTTCCAATAGCAGTGAACTACTTTCATTTCCTTAAAATGGAGCCAGGGCTCAGCACGTTCAAGTCCTTGGCAGGAAACGCTCTCCCCTCTTGGTTAAGGCCTATGCTGCCTTTAGGGTCCTGGGACATTTCCTGACTCTTCAAGACTGAGCAAGCACTGGCCATCTCCATTCATCCTTCTATCCAACTGGTATATTCACTCTCTTGTATCATTTATCTTTGGATCCCCTATCAGACTGAAGGCTTTCCAATCCTACTGGTGTGTTTTAAAAATTAAATGCTTGACAAAAGTTTGTTGAAATAGTTAATAAATGAATCATGTGTTTTTCTTTCTATTAAATATTTCACCATCTTTTATAGTATCATTAAAAGAGATAAGTGCACTTTTTCCCCTCATGTATGTCTCCTATGTACTTAAGAAGTAAATGAAATGGTATATGAACAACATGAAATTGACTGGAAACTTTATCAGAGGTAGTTTAAATCACTTGACTTAAACTCTTACAATCAGTATCTTTGCCTGTTTTGTGTTGCGATAACAAAATACCTAAGTCTAGGAACTTTAAAAAGTAAAGCGCTTTATTGACTCATGATTCTAGTGCCTGCAGGACCCAGACAACATGGTGCTAGAATCCTGGCAAGGGTCCCCTGGACATGACAGGAAGAAAGGGAGCCGGCCTTGAGCAGAGGGATACATGTGTGAATGAAGAAGCAAGAAAGGAGTGTGTGGGGGGGGGGGCAGATTGGCCAAGGCTCCTTCTTTTCATGAAAACCCACTGTCATGGAAACTAATCCATCCCTGTGGGATCTGGTCCACTTCCAAGAGAGAAAGCATTAATCCATTCAAGAAGGTGGAGCTCCCAAGACCTAATTACCTCCCACAGGGCCCCACCTCTTAAAAGTTCTACCCCCTCAACACTGTTACATTGGGAACCAAACCTCCAGCTCATAAGCCTTTGGGGAAAACAAACCATTTTCAAACCACAGCAGTCAGCAATTTCAGAAAAATAGGTTAAGTTTCAAACATAGATTCACAACCATTTATTACCCTTTCCATAGTTTTGTATTTTAAAAATCTCAAATAGTGCCTCACGGAGCTCTTAAACATCTGTCTCACTGGTGGCATTAAACCTTGTATGGTATCATGATTAGAATTTAGATTTCATAGTGACTGATGGAAAATGGCAGTCAAATAAGACTGTTCCCCTTCTTGGCTGTTAAAGGGAGGTCTCTAGGGAGTCCTGATAACCCCTTTCCTAATAAAATGCCATCTATTTGCAATAGTATGTGTATCCAAGGATCTCCTGAAATTATAGGAGCAAAACTCCCTCTTCACTTCAACCCAGGTAGGATCTATTGCTCAAAAGTGATTAGCCACACTGTGCTATAAGAGAGCATGAAAACAGGTAGGCTACCTGTCTGGTGTTCAGTTCACAGGGTCTCAACTCAAACATTTGAGCTCAAATTCTTATGCTGATTTTAGTCTCTCTAACCTTCATACTCTTCATGTACAGTGGGAAAAATAATATCTGCTTTATAAGATTTTGGGGAAAATTAAATATCAAATGTGGTGGTCTTGGCCCATGTGTGTACTCCAGTATAGAAATGGCAGTGATCACTGATGGATTCCTAAAAACACGGCACAAACAAGGTGGTGGGTGGCAGCGTCAAGGAACTGGGAGAGGTGAGATGGGAAGGAGTAGGTGTGGCCATTTTCTCCAATGTATTTTTTTTATTAAACTAAAGCTTCCAATCTGGGGTTCAGAACTCATGGGGATCATCCTAGGAGCCAGCAAAGCAGAAATGAACTGTGATGAGCCTAGTTCTAGCAGGAAAAACATTCTCAGTCTACTGCAGGGGAGAGATAGCAGGAAGATCCATGGCCAAAGCACATCTTCTAGAGGACTTTCATAATTCACTGGGATGCATGGGACATTCTGTGCTTTTGCCTAGTCATAAACAGACATAAACACAGTGACTCACCTGTCAGACAGAAAACTTGATTAATGTTTTTCCACAATAAGCAGAATTGTAGTAAATCATGTCCTTAATGTAAGCTTGGAGTTAACTGGAGGTCGATTTGTCATTAAATCATTTCAGCTTTCACATGTGGAAGAAGCCAAATGGTCTGTAGAACTTCTCCTGCCATAAAAATTGCAAAAAAACAAAAATGAAAAAAACACCAGGTTATTCTATTTCTTATGCTCACATATTGAAGTTGAAATTGTCAATATAGAATTAATACCTTATCACTAGAAATACTTATATTCCATATCTCATTTGCCCTGAATAACATCATTAGGTGCATGAGGGAATTGTATCATCCTCATATTAAAGATGAGAAAACAGTTTCTAAGTGGTTATCTTATTTGTTCAAGGTCACATGGCTTGGAAATGAAAGAACACTAGTGACTAATCTTGAGGACCAATGTCCTCACAACTCCAAATCAAGAAGCCCCAATGGACCACACTAATGCTGTGGTCAGATGTTAACTTTTTTTCTCACTCTGACAAATACCTGAGAGAAATGACGTAGAGGAGAAACATTTTACTTTGGCTCACAATTTCAAATATTTCAGTTCACAGTTACCCAGCTTCATTGCTTTTGGGCCTGAGGTAAGGCAGAACATCATGATGGAAGGGCATGGTGGAGGAAAGCTGCTCAGGAGAGAGAGCATTAGTGCAAGAAAGGGGCCAGAGATAAGCAATACTCTTCCAAGTCATTCCCCCAGTGACCTACTTCCTCCAACTAGGTTGACCTCATAGCCTCCAGCACCACCTCCTGGCAGTCTATCCAGCTATCAATGGGTCAGTCGGTTGCTGCGGTGAACTATAGGGCAGGTGAACCAGAATCATGACTTTCACCAGAAAAGATCCTCCCTCTTCCCTCTGGTTTTCTAAGCTGTGGAACCTAAACTGGGAAATGCTGGTAATCCTCCTTCACATCATGTTAAAGTCAAAGAGCAGAAGGTGTCAAAAATCTCTTCCTGCATTCCCTCTAAAATCTGGAACAAGACAGGGATGCCCTCTCTCACCACTTCTGTTCAACATAGTTCTCGAAACACTGGCCAGAGCAATTAGACAGACGAAAGAAATTAAAGGCATAAAAATAGGAAAAGAAGAACTTAAATTATCACTATTTGCAGGTGACATGATTCTATACCTAGCAGACCCAAAAGGGTCTACAAAGAAACTATTAGAGCTAATAAATGAATTCAGCAAAGTGGCAGGATATAAAATCAACACGCATAAATCAAAGGCATTCCTGTATATCAGCGACAAATCCTCTGAAATGGAAATGAGGACAACTACTCCATTCACAATATCCTCAAAAAAAAAATAAAATACTTGGGAATCAACCTAACAAAAGAGGTGAAAGACTTATACAATGAAAACTACAGAACCCTAAAGAGAGAAATAGAAGAAGATCTTAGAAGATGGAAAAATATACCCTGCCGCAGTCTGGCTGGGCACAATCAGGAGCCACTTGTCAAAAGAAACTAACTTTATTTTTAGAACCACACACACCAAACAAAACAGCCTCTCAGGAAAACACCCTCAGAGCCCCAACTGCCACCACCAGCTTTCCACAAGCCTCTCTCTCCCACACAAGCTTCTCTCCACCTCCCACAATCCTCCTGCTCTTGAGGCCGATTGGCTGGGTCACGTGGGCGGAGCCAAAAAAGTCCCCCAATGAGCAGCTCCGTGGTCTGAAAGGGCAGGGAAACAGCCCAATGAGCATCACCGCAGAGGAGCCAATCAGCTAGATGTTGCTGGGGCCGCTGTGAGCCAATCATCAGCCGGCAGCTGGAAGTTTGCTGGCAGCTGGAAGTTTGCTGGGGCCCCTTCGGCTGTGGCTCTCAACAATACCCTGTTCATGGATAGGCAGAACTAACATCATCAAAATGGCAATATTACCAAAAGTTCTCTATAGGTTTAATGCAATCCCAATCAAAATCCCAACGGCATTTCTTGTAGAAATAGAGAAAGCAATCATGAAATTCATATGGAAAAATAAAAGACCCAGAATAGCAAAAACAATGCTAAGCAGGAAGTGTGAATCAGGCAGTATAGCGATACCAGACTTCAAACTATACTACAGAGCAATAGTAACAAAAACAGCATGGTACTGGTACCAAAACAGGCGGGTGGACCAATGGTACAGAATAGAGGACACAGAAACCAATCCACAAAACTACAACTATCTTATATTTGATAAAGGGGCTAAAAGCATGCAATGGAGGAAGGATAGCATCTTCAACAAATGGTGCTGGGAAAACTGGAAATCCATATGCAACAAAATGAAACTGAATCCCCTCCTCTCGCCATGCACAAAAGTTAACTCAAAATGGATCAAGGAGCTTGATATCAAATCAGAGACACGGCGTCTGATAGAAGAAAAAGTTGGCTATGATCTACATACTGTGGGGTCGGGCTCCAATTTTCTCAATAGGACACCCATAGCACAAGAGTTAATAACTAGAATCAACAAATGGGACTTACTCAAACTAAAAAGTTTTTTCTCAGCAAAAGAAATAATAAGAGAGGTAAATAGGGAGCCTACACCCTGGGAACAAATCTTTACTCCTCACACTTCAGATAGAGCCCTAATATCCAGAGTATATAAAGAACTCAAAAAATTAGACAATAAGATAACAAATAACCCAATCAACAAATGGGCCAAGGACCTGAACAGACACTTCTCAGAGGAGGACATACAACCAATCAACAAGTACATGAAAAAATGCTCACCATCTCTAGCAGTCAGAGAAATGCAATCAAAACCACCCTAAGACACCATCTCACTCCAGTACGATTGGCAGCCATTATGAAGTCAAACAACAAAAAGTGCTGGCGAGGATGTGGGGAAAAGGGTACACTTGTACATTGCTGGTGGGACTGCAAATTGGTGCAGCCAATTTGGAAAGCAGTATGGAGATTTCTTGGAAAGCTGGGAATGGAGCCACCATTTGACCCAGCTATTCCCCTTCTTGGTCTATTCCCTAAAGACCTAAAAAGAGCATGCTACAGAGACACTGCTACATCGATGTTCATAGCAGCACATTTCACAATAGCAAGACTGTGGAACCAACCTAGATGCCCTTCAATAGACGAATGGATAAAAAAAAATGTGGCATTTATACACAATGGAGTATTACTCTGCATTAAAAAATGACAAAATCATAGAATTTGCAGGGAAATGGATGGCATTAGAGCAGATTATGCTAAGTGAAGCTAGCCAATCCCTAAAAAACAAATGCCAAATGTCTTCTTTGATATAAGGACAGTAACTAAGAACAGAGTAGGGACGAAGAGCATGAGAAGAAGATTAACATTAAACAGGGATGAGAGGTGGGAGGGAAAGGGCGAGAGAAGGGAAATTGCATGGAAATGGAAGGAGACCCTCAGGGTTATACAAAATTACATACAAGAGGAAGTGAGGGGAAAGGGAAAAATAATACAAGGGGGACAAATGAATGACAGTAGAGGGGGTAGAGAGAGAAGAGGGGAGGGGAGGGGAGGGGAGGGGGGATAGTAGAGGATAGGAAAGGCAGCAGAATACAACAGACACTAGTATGGCAACATGTAAATCAATGGATGTGTAACTGATGTGATTCTGCATTCTGTATACGGGGTAAAAATGGGAGTTCATAACCCACTTGAATCAAAGTGTGAAATATGATATATCAAGAACTATGTAATGTTTTGAACAACCAACAATAAAAATTTAAAAAAAATCTCTTCCTGGCAACATAGGTTGAACATTAGTATTTAGCCATACCTGGAATTTTCTTCCCTGGAACCCCATTTTTTTCATAGACAGTATGATCTGTCATCTTCATCTAGAAGAATCTGCGATAAAGGAAAAACTCCTGATGAGACAGATGTGAAGTTTATCCCAGTCTGTTACTTAGAAGTCGTGTAACTTTTGGCAAATTATTTTGCCTCTCGGGGCACACATGCTTCATGTACAAAATGAGAATTTTGTATTGAAGGTTCTTCAGATGTCTTTCTTGGGCTGAATATGAAGAAGGAAAACAGGGGCCAATCATCCAGCTCAGCTGGAACTAAGGCAAAAGCCGTGCTTCCGAGTGAGCTCTTTCTCTATTCCCAGCACACTCACCGTAGCAGACAGTCAGTCACTGCTGTCTATCCAACACAGGCTGCTGTGAGCACTGACCACACCCTGCTCTTGTTAGTCCCATTGATCTTCCCAGGAGATCCCATCTCATCTTCTCCATGTCAGTTCAACCAACCAAGTACACTATGTAATTTTCATGATCTCCCTCCTCAAATCTACTCAGCATGTCAAATGACCAAATAAATATTCAATGCATAACCCAAGTAAAATGAGGTGCTAGGTACTGTGATTATTTTATTAGCCTGTCTTTTTGTGTATCCTCCTTGGAAGGGACGGAATTCATTTTCATCAAATGAATGCCAGGGAAACAAATGAGTTTTGAAGTAAAAAGATGAAGGAAATTTTTGAACAGTACTTAATCCTCTTCATTGTTCATCCATTCATTCTTCCACTACCCAATGGCCAGGGCATTGCTTTGGGGGGCTCTTTACTTTAATTATATATATTTTGCTACTGCTTTCCAGTGAATGAAAATTTAGCTAAAATAACTAGGCTTATGGAAGATAAAGGCAACAGCATAGTCTTGCGTGATTTGTCTAACATGAGTTGAGAGGTCACATATTTGCATACCACATTTAGATGTGGGAAAGACATTATTTGTCACCTTGTCCTAAAAACCCCATTCCTGATGATGGTGGGAAAGTATCTAAATTAGTTCATGGAAAATATTTCATTCTCTGTTGGCTAAAGCAATCATTTTACTATCTTCTGGGTAAGTAATCAAGACTTGCTTACTATCTTATGGGTAAATAATCAAGCAATTTTAAAGTTCATGTCCCTCTGAGAGATATTTCTCATCTTATACATCCACAAGATGGCGCCTTCCCCAAGAGACAATTTCCACAAAGAGTCTTCCGTTAGATTTCGCCTGGGTGGTGAGAAAAGGGTATCTTACATTTTGTGGTGAGGTTAAGAGTGATGTCTACCTGCTGATCCTGGTCTTCTATGACCTTTGAGATGTCCTTCTTATTCACTGGTCAGAACCTCTTGATGCCCACAATAATATAACTCATGATCTGGTGGCCTGGTGGGGGTCTGCTGTGCCCCCCTCTTGTTATACTCCTTTACCTTGATATTTAAACCAAGTTTCTCCACAATGATCCATGATAGCCCACCGGCCCTCATCTATTTCTTACCCTTCCACCTCTGGGAGCGTGTGATAATGCCCCATACGAGCTGGCCTTCTCTCAACTATCTTCTTTTGCTTAAGCACAGCGTACCCCATGTCTTCTTCTCACTTATGTTTCAGTTCTCCTACTCTGGTGCAGGGGGTCACTGAAAGGTGATGTTCTTCCCGAGCTTTAGTCAAAATGGGGCATGGATCTTCTCTGCTTCTAGATTTCTTTGCTGACCTCTCTTGATCTGACCTCAGGAACCTGTCTTCTCATGGTTTCCTCCTAGAATCAGACAGTCCATTAACATCACTGTTGTTAGAGGACTCATCAAAAATACAAATTCGGGGGCTGGGGTTGTGGCTCAGTGGCAGAGAACTTGCCTAGCTTGTGTAAGGCACTGGGTTCCATGCTCAGCACCACAAAGAGAGAGAGAGAGAGATAGAGAGAGAGAGAGAGAGAGAGAGAGAGAGAGAGAGAAAGAGAGAGAAAGAAAGAAAGAAATTGTGTCCATCTACAACTTAAAGAAAAAAAGATTTTAAAAATTCAAATTCTCAGGTCCAAATTCAGGTCTATCAAATCAGATTCTCTAGGGACAAGATCCAGCACTCAGTTTTAACAAGCCTCCCAGGGGATTCTGACCACCACAAAAATCTGAGACCCACTCTTCAGACTCTCAACCATGCAACTCAGTGCTTGAACCCTGGGCTCAGCAGCACTGGCCTTGCCTGAAAATTATTTAGAAATGCAGAATGTCAGGCTCCACTTGAGATTATTGCTAAGAACTTTGAAATGAGATTCTGCAGTGATTCTTATAAACAGCCAATTGGAGACCCATTACTTGATGATTGGACCTGTACTCAACCTGGATTGTAGATTAGAGGGGGATAGTGTTGAAGGGAACTTTTCTTCTCTCTCTGTGTCCAGCAGGCCACCTCCAGTCCAAGGTTGGACATCTGGGAGACGGTGGTTAGACTATAACTCGCTTGTGCACAAACCAAAAAAGTAGCTTTATTTCTATTGTTGTTCTTCTTCCTCCTATCTTACCAACCTGTTGGGTAGTAGGGTGTCAAAAATTATTTCACTTGTAAATTAAAGACATTATCACCTCTTCCTGCCTTAACTATCTCTATAGGGTAACTCAACTACTTTGGGGTAAATTTTGAGCCTTTCAGATAAACTCCAACTATGCCAGCTCCTCCCATGATGGCTCTGGGTAGGAGAGACTTACATGACCTTGTGATGCCAGGGGCAGGTGGGGTTATGCTGTTCACATGGCATTCTGTGCAAAAGAGGAAAAGGTGCATGTTCCTTATAACACTCTCTATTCAGTTGTTGGAAAATTGTCATGTTTACTTTCTTAGAATAAACACATCACTGTCATATACTTTAAAACTGCCACAGTAAATGTGAAAATTTACAATGTCTGAACTGAATCATGTTTCCATAGATGTAGTTTTCTTTTTCTTTTTTTTTTTTGTGCTGTGCTCAGTCTGCACAACTCTTCATCCGTCTCCCTATTTTTTACCATAATGATGCGCATCAGATGGAACATGAGGTTTCTCCCAAAGTCTTGCAAAAGCATTAACTATCTCACCCCCTCTAGAAATTCCTACCACTCTGAAGGCCATGAGGTGAACATTTCTCTCTGACTCTTCTTTTCTGCTGTTCCTTGTGTCTTCCCCACAGTGCACTGGATCAGGAGCACAGGCAGATTCCTGCGTGATCCAAGTTTGGACATCATAGTTGGTCCTCATTTCCCTTTGATGGACGGAAAACTCCAGTTTAAGCCCAGGCCTGCTTCTTCATATGAAACCAGAGCCTGGAGGATATTCAAAATTCTTTTCTTTCTCCACAATGACTGATTTTTGAGACTTCACTCTCTAGTGATTCACAATGTTGACTTCCTATTTTCTAGCAAAAATTCACCCTCTTCCTGAAGCATGAAAAGACACTTACTCCAGTGGCCAGGCCCCTCAGGGAAGCAGTATCTTCTGGATTTGAAAACAGAGAAAGCTCTAAGAAGAAACCAAAAGACTCTAATGTCTTGACTTTTCCCCCCAATATTTCTCTGATGGAGTCTTGGTAGACATTGTCTTAGTCCAAGGGGTTTAATGAACCATTTTGCTATTGTTTAATGAGAGCTGCTCCTTTCACCAGCTAGAGATGCCCTCCTTGCCCTCTCTGTTAGATCTCTCCATCTCTGCCTACTCAACAATGTAACATCACCCCATCGCCAAAGGTCCAAATTAGGACCTTTTAGTGTTCAGGAGACAAAAAAAAAAAAAAAAAAAAAAAAAATCTGGTTCAGATTAAAGTAAATCATAAGAAGGTTTACTTGGTTCATGTAACTGCAACATGCAGGGACTCACCATGTCACTAGGATACAGCCCCAGAGTTCTGCGATTCCTTTCTTCCATGTGTCGGCTATTTCATGATGACAAAATGGCCCACAAAGCAGTCAGGCACTTCATCTGCATACCACATCATCATGAGCCAAGAAAGAGCCTTTGTACCAGCACCTAAGCAGGTTGTCACATGCCCACCACTGAACCTACACCGCGGTCAGGGGATTAGACCATTTTGATGGTTTCAATTAGCTAATGAGGAACATGTTCCATTCCTAAAGCCAAAAAACTCACAAGTCTGGAAGTTAGGCATCTCTCCAAAGAGGCATCTCGGGAGGATGTGATGTCTACCCAGTGTACAGGAATCTGTCAATAACTGGGTCCCTACCCAGTCTCCTCAATGAACTCTGTGCCCTAATATTCAAAGAGAATAGAACCACAGTGATGATTCAAAGACCACTGAAACCTTAGGCAACCCGATGGTGTGGGTGACTGTCAGAGACCGTCAATCAAAAGTCCCTCCACGCTCCCATTTTATTTTCATTTTCATAATTTATTTTGTTGGTGCATTATAATTACACTTAACAGTGGGATTCATTATGTTTTAGTTGTAAACTTCCCCCTGCCCTCCCCTCCTCCCTCAGGATCTCCTTCCTCTACTCTTTGGGTCTCCTTTCTATTTTTATGAGATACCTTCCACCTTTTTTAAAAATTTTAAATTATTTTTTAAAAAATTTTTAAATTTGAATTCCTATTTCTCCATGATTTTCATAGCATTAAGTAAACTTCCCTGATTCTGGGGTGAACCCAGAAGAGGAAGAAAGTTCTGCCACGATTGCGATGGATTCTCTGTGGCTGGTCGGCATGAGGGCTGGCAGTTAAGATGAAGTTGACAAAGAAAAATGAAGCACTACTTTTGGTAGCACTGACTCTGTCAACAGAGATTGACGCCACTGTGTAGTCTGTAACACAATTAAGTCGATTTATGAACATCTTACCAAAAATTTAGGAGTGAAACATCCTAAAAATGTTTCTCATAAGGGTTGGTATCAGGAAACCACATGAGAACTCCTATAACTGCCAAGTGACAGTGAATACAAGGTCATCGATAGTGTCTTTTTCTATTGTTTTACTCTTTCTCTCTTTTGCTCATCATATTTTCCCATATAATCCTAAAATTTCCAAGCACCAATACAAAATAGTTCCAAGGGTTTCAAGAATCAAACCCTGACATTGAAATTGCACTTCTTAGTTTATTCATTAATCAACATATTGTTTGTTTATTCATTCAACAAACAATTATAATTACTAGACAGAATACCCATAAGAATTGAGTCTTTCTGGAACAAGTGTGGTAGCCCATACTTGTAATCCCAGTGACTCAGGAGGCAGGCAGATTGCAATTTGGAGGCCTGGGCAACTTGGTGAGACCCTGTCTCAAAATAAAATAAAAAGGTCTTGGGGGATATAGCTCAGTGATAGAGCAACCCCTGGTTCAATCCCCAGCAACACACACACACACACACAAAAAAAAAAAAAAAAAAAAAAAAACACTTTGCAGGTCAGAATGATAGTTGTTACCCAATTTTCAAGCTGGAGTTTCAATAGTGTCAAGAGTCTTGGAGGCAGGGCCAGAACTTTTAGGACACTTCTGAAAAGAATATTTCCAAGTCCATTCAACTATCCAAGAACTTTCAATGAAATGCAGAGGACTAAGTTATTATTTTCAAGCATAGGCTAGGCGAGTCACTGTGGATTAGGGTTTCTTGATCACAGTTTGGATTTGAAACCAAGCACACATAAAATTTGGATTTCTATTCCATAACTGACTCTGAACAACATGGAGAAGTCTCCAGTTCATTCCCTTATTGGATGAGTATACAGTTTGCTTTTTAAACACCTAATTGCAACATCATTTGAGGAATCGCAACGTATTTTTTTAGCGTGTAAAATTCCACTAGTGCTGCATAAAGGGCTTCAGAAAATTATAAGCAGAAGAAAAATAGGTTACAGGACATTATATGTTTAATGATATGCAAATGCTATTAAATTAGAACATGATTGTATCACTGTTCTTTGGGGAAAAATGGTTTTAAGCAATTCAAAACAACAGATGTTAAGGTTTTGTGGGGGGTTTTTTTGGTGCAGAGATCTAACAATATCAAATTAGAATCAAAAACCACACATATTGAATTACCTCTTGACTTTCATAGATATTAATTTTATAGTAGACAAAAAGACAAACTGATTAAAGCTTAATTTTGCTTTTTATTTGAAAGGTAGCTAGTATTTTCTTACATAGGTAGGAAAACTAAACAAAGACAAATTGTCAAGGCTATAGCCACAATCTTGCAGAAGTTACACAATTTAGCCTAAGTTTTCTTACACCTTAACGGACCAATTGTATGTAACCAGCTTAGGGAAAAAAAAAACTGAAAAGACATTTGGAGTTTAAACCAAGAGAAAGCATCTGATCATTGCTGAGCTTTTCAGAGTGCAGAGGAATAAATGGTGCAGAGGATTGCAGCATCTCCCTGCCTTCATTTCCAGCTCCTAGGGAGCAGTCTCTTGGATAGGAAAATGCCAGCCTGGCCTACTCTTGGCTCTTCAAGAGCAACAAAGGGAGCGGCGAACTACAAGGTTCCATGATGGAGCATTACTGCCACCTAGTGGTCATGAGTAAGATGAACAATAAATGATGTGGCAAGAATAGGACCTCTGGAAAAGAATCTTCAACCCCTCATCACCTCCAATTTGACCTGCTTTTGTTATTTTCAGCTAATTAACTCAAACCAGGTGCATTAAATAAATGTAACTAATTACACTAATAGAATCTCAGTGTGTTACATCTTAAAGCTGTTATAAACCTCAAAGAATAAAAGAGATACAATGCTCAAATATCTTTTTTATTTGAATGGAGTCAGGGGGTTTACGCTA